TATATTGGGCCTCCGATTTTCTCTTCGTATTAACACTTGAAAATTCTTCCTAATTAAGCTTGCATTAAGCAAAGGAAGCCGAGTTTAGCCCCGAAAAAACCTCCGAACTTCCTCTCTCTAGACTTCATCAGAATCTCCATTCTTTGTGCCCAGGTAGTTACTGTACAATTTAGATCTTTTAGGTCCATAGGAATCTCTATCTTTAAGTGTTAATGCTTGTGTTGCGCTACTATGTTGATTTGATTCATGTGAATGCCGAGTTCGCTTTGATTTGTACTTTTGTTTTTCTATTTTTTGTTCGATTTGAGGCATTATTTTAGCTGAGATTCTTTGAGTTTTCGCATTTTTGTTGCCTTTCCGTCGCCTGATAATGTTTTCATGTCGCCCGATTTTTCCTTCATTATTTATGTGGTATATTTTGGGATGTCTTGTGGGTTTTCGATACTGCTTTGTTAGAATTGGAGTTACTGTTTTCTTTCGTTCTGATGGGGTAGGAATGCGTTTTGTTGAATCATTTACTTGGGTGGTTTCATTTATATAAGCTGGGTACTGCGAGGTTCTGTGTGCAAAAAATCTATATGCTGTCCGGGTTGTTTTAACGAATTTGAACTAATGAAGATATGTGGGATACTTCTATGCTCGCACATGGATTGTTGATTTTGTCCATCATAGTTGTATTTAACAAAATTTGGAAGAGTTGCCTTGGAATTGTATGAAATGGAAGTCTTGTAGCACCTGCTTGCATTTTGTTTGTGGTTTCAGCATAGAGTACTTGCAGCCAGTATGAGTTTGATTTCTTCCTTCTAGTGATCTATCGGACACCAATTTGCAGGTCTCCTAGTTCTTGTTCTGTAGTGTAGGCTTTTTGAAGATCGTCATAAATACTTTACACGTAAAAACATCCATGTAAAAGTTATGTGGCCTGTACACATTTTCTTCAATTTTCGAGTGATAGCAGAAGCTTGCTCAATGTGAGGGCACTAGTTATTGGACATTTGAGGAGTCTGCTTCTTGAATAATTACATTTACTGTCCTACCTATTATCCACTGTGGCTTTGTACTATGCCAATAGTTGTTAAGTTGTATGGCTTTTCACTTGTCTTAGTGGTCCTATGGACTTATTACATTTTTAAAGTATCACTTGCAAAAACATGGTCTACTTGTATATGCCCCCTAATTTCAAGGACTGCTTTGTATATACCCATCTTTTGCTGTGAATGCCGTAGATAATTTTCTTGAGCGGACGTATTGCTACTATGTTTCTTTAATTTTAAACAACCTGCTAGGATTTACATCTATAGCCTTGTATCTATTGCCTTTTCCTTTGAGGTTCTTTGAACTAAATGGAATTTATAAAGGAGGCTTCCAAATGCTGGTAATGTGTAATGATATAGCTGCCGAAGTTTGGACATAATGGCAGATTAGAAAGCAGAAAGTGGAATATGCTTTATCGTAGTTGTATCAACAATAGCCAAATTTCACTCTACTTCATTCCTTTCAGCATATGAAGTTACTTTTATTGTTTGAGATGATCCATGTATTTGGAGGAAGAATGAATATTGAACTGAATTTTTTATGTGTTCTGGTAGATTGAGAGCTGTTAAAATGTCACATATCCTTAAGAGTACTCATCTGTATTTAAAGCTCGATTGTTGTTCTATTCCAGAATTCGTGCTCTTTGGCACTCTGCAAGTAGTTATTCTCATTTGTATGCCATTCAGCACATCAATTACATAAAGTGCACTTAGACAACTATTTTTTTTTTTTTTGTTTTGTTAGCAGGAAATTGTGTTACCATGGCATCGAGGATTGCTGCTAGATATATCTCGCGCAGGTTCTCTAGCGGTGGCAAAGTCCTTAGTGAGGAGGAGAAGGCTGTAGAAAATGTCTATATCAAGGTAAATTCAGAACTGTGGCACTAGATATAACAAATTTTGAGAATTATACGTATTGTGGTGCTTCCTTAATGGCAGGTTGTTGCATTTTGCTTTGGTCGTCTATCTGGACAGAACATACTTAAAATTCTGAAAACGATTATGAAGCTTGATTATTCCCTTGTCATATTTTCTAGATGAAATTCTTCACAAAGTGCATTTATGATGATCCTGCATCTTTCTTTTCTCATACTTTGTGTGGTGGAGTTTATACTTTATTCTTGATCTGGTTCGCTAATGAGGGACACTGTAGGTAATTATTATTGCTAAATGTACAAACACATAATTCAACTGTGGTTACCTGTCGATTCGGGTCATTTTTAGAGCTATTACTTTATTTAGTTGTTTGCTTTAAGAATAAGCTCTTGAGACATGTACATCAATGACAATTGCATTTCTCTAATTCAACAAAACTGCTGTATATTTATCTGACATCTGATTTAATTTTTGTTTTTTTTTTTCCAGAAAATGGAAGAGAAGTGGAGA